AGTCTACATGTCCTGCTAGTTTCAATCTTAATGGAGAAGATATAGCTGTAGAAAAAGAGCCTTAAACTTGGTCATAATCAGGCGGCCTAAAATCCTTGATTTACAAGAGTTCTTCTTCTTATTTTACCAAAAACAGATAGAGCCAACTCTCCTCTTTGCTATTACTAAGAATTAGCTTTATCCGTGCCTTTGCTTTGGAGATGCACCTTTACTTGCACAGCCACCATTTCCATTAGTCTCGCTGGCCAGACCCTTGCCTTGGTCTGGCCAGCGAGACTACATTTCCATTTCTTAGCCATGAAGCAACTTTGATTTTTGTACAAATCATTCACAGGGGTGCTAGACCTTTGCCAAAGGGTCTGGTACTGTACTTACCTTTGCTTAATACAATGTGATGGCCCTGTGGTGCTGGGTCTTATTTTATTCAGGTAAATTTCCCCTCAAAGTTGATGTGTTCTTCCAGATTTCATCTAATTAAGAGCCTACAACAACTACACGTGTTTCAAATTTTGAATGATTTTAATTATATTCATAACCAAATTGTCAATGAATTTAATTATATCAGTGATGTAACAGGAAGTGAAGCCAGAAAAGATCCTTACACAAAAATGTACCGTCTGAGTGTAGACTGTTCAGTAGTACCACCTGGGAATACTCTCATTCCTGTCTCTACTTCTCTCTTCTTTCTTGAGGAGCTACTGGTTGACTCATAATAGACAGTATAATGACTAGCTCTAGAAACAAAACCCCACTCAGCCCTCACTGCTGTAGAATTGAACTTTGTGATAGAAAAGGTTTCAATGACAGCTAAAATAGAAAATACCAAATACAAAGTTACATTAATTTACTATTCTTTACACAATTGGTTACTATATGTTATTTAATTGCTTACGTATTTGAATAGTACTATATTCACTATTAGTCCATTCTCCTGGTCCAATACTAGTATATGCTCTCACTCCAATAGTATAACTAGCATTAAGTATCAATCCTGCTATACTGTATTCAGTGTTAGTAGTGTTAGTTATAGTGTATGGACCAGTACTGGTAGACTCTCTATATCTTATCTCATATACTGTAATGATACCATTAGGTATTGTAGGAGGATTCCATACAATATTTATTCTAGTTGGGTTTCTTGCATGCAACAGATTAGATATCAGACCAGGAACTGTGTTAAGATCATGTTAAACTGATCAATATCTCATTGACTTACTTGATTCAGCAGTTAATTGTATTTCTTGTCTAGCTGGTCCATTCATATTATAATTATATGGTATTATACTCATAGTATAGTTAGTATATGGTATTAATCCTGTGAAATTATACATTCTGTTGTCTCCTCCAGTGATATTAACAGTATAACTAGTGTTTGAAGTGATGTTAGTGTATGTGAGGTAGTATCCAGTGATTGGTCCATTCCTTCCATTGCAAGGTACTTCATCCCATGAGACAGTCATTGACACTGACTCTACTGATGAGAATATAATATCACCCACTGGTGCAGAAGGAGCTAGAGTGATAATCAAAAGGACAAATAACTATCAATAGCAATTATTATTTTACCAGTTGAAAGTGTTTCAGCTGAATAATTTCTAGTCAATTCAGCTGTAACATCATATACTCCATTAAGATCAAAGGTACATTGACTGTAAGGAGGTATACCAGTTGAAGTATGTGGTGACGAAACTGATGTTTCACTACTACCAGTTGTTGATGATTCACATACTCTACTACATCTCCTATTAATATTATAACTAATTGGTACTAGAGCAGTTGGTGGACTCCATGTTAATGTAATGGCAGTGCTTGTAATTAATGTAGCCATAAAATTATTAACTACTGGTTCACCTAAAAACCAAACAATTACTGACACACCATATTTATTGATATCTTTACTTACTAATTGTTATCATAACTGAAGAATTACCACTAGGTAGAGAAGCTGATCCATAAGATACTACATAGAAAGTGTATGTAATCCCTCGAAACAATCCTGATATTATACTGATTGCTGTTGAAGCAGTAGTGCCTACACTAACAGGAGTATTACTAAACAGTTGATAGTAGACCTCATAACCAGTAGCTCCTGATACAGTAGACCAGGAGAGTCTTACATGAGCTAAACCAGTACTTAATCTTGTAGCATTTAAACCAGTTGGAGTATCAGATACTGAAAATACATAAATTATTTATAGTATCGACAATAATAATCACCAACCTATATATTCAATGATGAAGTGCTAGTAACTGCAGTAGGATGACTATTACCACTAATAGGTCCATTAGTTACTCTGTCATTAGATACAGTACACTGATAGCTACCAGCTTCTCTCAGTCTCACTGTTACTCTCACTCTTGTAATAGATCCTGGTCCATTCAATATCACACGAGACAGTTCAGTAGATATTCCAGTCGCATTCACTGAACAATTGACAGTAGTAGGAGGACCATCAGAGACATTGAAACTGAGACTGAAGACTGGAGGAGTAGCTAATCTACTAGTGGAGAGGAGAGAGAACTGCATAGTGGGATCAGCATCAGGACCATCTGTAAAAAAAGTACATTAATTATAGTCTATATTCATCACATACCATTGTTATTGTATTCAGTATCAGTATATGCTCCAGCCACTAGTGTTTGATTCACTCCATTCTCATCAGGAATGATACACTTGTATAAACCTTCGTATCCTGATAGTGACACACTTCTAGCTAGTGCAATCTGACCACTGAATCTCTTACTGAACAATGGACTAGGAGCTAATGAATGATCAAAGGGTCCATCAAATAATGGTACTTCAGTTCCATTAGGATAATACCACACTCCAATATTAGTAATATTGTTAGCACTCTGACACCACAAAGCATCATTGATATCATTAACATCATTATTCTGATCAATATTATAAAACTGGCTAGCATGTATCATAGAGTAATCAGGTATTATCCTGTCCTCATAAGCTAGGTACAGTTGAACTCCCTGATATGAGTATATATATATATGTAAATCTACAAATTACCAA